ATCTGTCTGCCTCTTCTCTTCTTTCTAACACCTGAAATTCAAAAGATAAGAAAAAGTGTCCCAGATTTCCATGTCAAACTCATCTGGAACAGCCCTGACTTCCTTTTTCACCTTCTCTTTCCTTCAGTATTTAAGTTTCTTGTTCCTTAGAAACTAGTAAGTCAGCAGTGACAGGCATACTTTGAATTTGTTTTTGCACCCTTTTTTGCAACTCTTGTTGCATCAAATTCTCTCAAGTAGGCCTGCTAGGTCTTAGCTTCTTTATGTTGTTGTTGTTGTTGTTGTTTTAATTTAGGTTGTTTATTTTTCATTTCAATGAACATCTACAGAGATTTTGGAATTCCATTCATTCATTGTTGCACCCTTCTCTTAGCTTCTTATGGGGAAAGGGCCCTGGAATGGTGCAAAAAGCCAATGCACTTGACTTTTAAGCAAAACACTGGAGGTTCAAGTCCACCCAAAGGCTTCTTTTTGAAAAGGGCTTCTGATCTCTTTCTGAAAAGACAGCCTCTGAAAACCCTCTAGAGTGCAGCTTTGCTCTGACATGCATGCATCAGAGTCAACTCATGACCACTTTGGGCAAACGCATTACTTTTAAACTCCTGAAGGCCCTGATGAGCAATTTATTATTTGGAAATGAATTTTAAAGTGGTGTCACCTATACTCTCCTATTTGCTTGGAAGAAAAGTTCTCATGATCCTATTTAACAGTGAAGCTCAGAGAGAATGAAATTGCTAAGCCCATTTTATACGTGAAACCAGAGTTGTTCAGGGCTCTATACTGAAAATAAATGGCACATCAGGACAGAGTCCAAACTGACCATTTCCAAACAAAGTTATGTAAGGATCTTTCAGGGTATTCTGATGGCCTGGTCTGCAGGCAGTTGCACGGCTAATCCAAAGCCCACACCTCTGGTAGTTGGACTTCACCAACAATTCCCATGAGAGAGAGATGGATAATCTCCTCTGTGTAAGTCACAGCCTGGAAAACCCAGCGGAGGCTCGGCTACGAGTCAGTTCTAAGCCAACAAGTGAAAATGCAAGGACTTCTTTAATTATACCCATGACTGTCACTGGATTTGTGTTTGGAATAGTTTGGTCTTCCTCCTCCAAATTACTTAATGTTGACACAGTAAGAAGTCATTAATCCCTTATATCTTTCTTAAATCAGCTGTTGACACAGGAATATATCCACCAGTGCTGTCTGATCAGGACAATGGTTAGAAAGCTATCCTGCCATGATCCTGGGGAGCAGCAATGCAAAGTGACAGTCTGTTGAGCTTAAGAAACCCTTTTCTGGACAAACATACAGACATTTTTCTTCAGTTTCTTTAAAAACTAGAAATCCATTATCACTCTGTTGTCATTCCTAAAACCTCAAGGACTCTGAGTCAAGAACCACCACCTTTGTTCACTCCAGAGCAGTGGTTCATTGGCAAATTTTCACCTGCCACAGAATCCCTCAGAAGGGCTGTTAAAACACAGGCCTCTAGGCCCTACCTCCAAATGGCTGATCCAGTTGGCCTATGAAGGGTCCCAAGAATTTGCATTTGTGGCAAGTTCTCAGGCGATGCTGACCCGGAGCAACCCTCTGAGTATGACTGTTCTTGTTGTTGATCCAAGAGTTCTAGCTCTTTCATTTTGCCTTTTGGTCTTGATCCCCTGTAAGTGACGGAGCTGGGTTCTCCCTGTCCTGCTTGTGAAAGGAGTCATGCTCCCCAGGCAAACACAGCCTCCCAGCCACCAGACCTCCGCCCACCAGCAGGTACCCTTCTCTATACCGCAGAGTCAGCCCTCTCTCCTTAAGGGATTTCTCAGAGGCCTCATCAAAGGGCGTGTTTCCTCAATTTTCTGGGCTCCTGCACCAACCACCATGAGGCGGGCACAGGACTGGGCAATTTTTATAACCCATTATCCATAAGATCACCATGAGTCAGAGCTGATTTGACCACAACTAACAACAGCAACAACAGGCTGGAAGGATGTGGGTGAAGCGGAGAGTCTGCAGGAGGTCCACTCCTATCGCAGGATCTTTTTCTGAGCTCTAAGTAAGCAAATGTTTATACACACAGCTGACCCAAATTAGCTCGAGCTGTGTGGACAGAAATAGGAATAGCCGTAACTAAACGCTGAGGCGAGAACATGAATTCCCTCGTGAGAAGAGATCATTCTTCCTCCAGGGGGGTACGGGTTAGATGTGCGACTGACTAAATTTACAACCAGATTTTTTCATTTGAATTCACATGGATTTATTAGTATCGTTATTTTCATTTACAAACCGAACTTTCTTGTCAATCTTAAATGCCAATGTGCTTTAAATATACCAAGTCTTGCCATTTGATACTCCCAGGGCTGACAGTCTTTATTTAAAAAAAAAAAAAAAAAAAACAACTCGTGGAGGGGGGAAAGGAAGAATCATGGTTCTTGTTGGTCTGTAGGGAGGCGTATTAAAATCCACACTCTCTGGAGTCACAGAAACAGGCAAACATCTGTTCTGGGGCCTTGGCAGGTAGTTTTCAAGTAGTCTTATGTGCTGCCATTTCCCCTATGACATCCCTTAAGCTGCAAGGAGAAGAGCATGTGGCAAAATGCAGTGTGTAGACTTCCTTGGCTCTCATTCAGAGTCCTTGCAAAACAGACATAGTTCCTCCCATCATGTGGTAGAAGGATCTACAAGACCATTTTGCTCCTGGCATCAGAGAACCGGACAATGTGAATCATTTCACAGGGGAGCAGTTAATACCGAGAAGTGATTAATCCTGAGGAGCTCTACAAAACCGAGACACACAAACTTAAATCAATTAACAAGCACTGCTAATAGAATCTGGAAAGCCTCGGGACGAAAGAGCAGGTCACCACCATGGAGTGGAATGTAGAGGATTAGTCAAGATACATACCATTCCCTTAGGGAGAACTTCTTAAAGAAAAAGACAGACTATTTTTTTGAACCGTTTAAGAACAATTCCTTTTCTGAATCATGTGAGTAATTAGTCACACCAATCACTTATAACTGCCAATTAAATGGCCATCAGACTATAGAATAGGTGAGAGTCTGCATCAGAGGCAGATTTATAAGGACTCATTGGACTTAAATGAAACTTCCTGTATCCTGGTTGCCTGATGAGATGGGGATTCTTTTTCAGATGACTCTCAATATAAATTGCAAATACGATTAAGAATAAATAAATAAGGAAACAGGACAGGGATGGTCCTCATTAAAGCTAATGACAACAACGAAAGTAAAGATGTATGGCTAATTCAGTAAAACTGTTCCTGTCTCCAGAGGCTTTCTCAGAGACACGGAATGAGGAGAAATACAGACAATGCCATCTGAAGTGGTGACAGAATTCTCTGAGAAGGCTATTATAAGGGTGGAAAGCAACAGATAAGCTGAAATTATAAGGTTAGTGAAGAATATGATGGTCAAGAAATGATTAATTACTTTTATGGTTCATTATTTTTCTTTCTATGAGAAAAGTAGTGTCTTAATCTCGATCAAAGTGAGAAGGATGCTTATTGTTATCTATACTTGACTGAAGCCAACCAGTGAAGACTACTTGTTCCTTTGGTCAATATTATTAATGTTTGAGTGGGCCTCAGAGAATTATAGAGAGCATGCTTTAGGAGCTTCCCTAGTTGCTATTAAGCTTCTTGAATGGAGGAAAATACGGTCCACTGGACTCCAGGTTCACAACTGAATTTGCTTGAAGTCTAGCAAGTCCTTTTGAAAACTGCTCCATTTAGTATGACCATTGGGACATACACACACAGAGTCTTGCATGCACAGACATTATGCCTATATGGATACACACATATCCACAAGGGTCCATAGGGCCAGAAACCCAACACTGATGCCTGCTAACGGAGATTCCAAGATTTGAGAGAGCATTTAATTGCCTGTAGCATAAGAGTGGGCATCTGTTCACTACTTGAACTCTGGGTCATATGATTCATCGACTTGTCTGGACTTAATATTTAAAAAGTATAATGCACCTTTCTTAATGTCTGATTAACATTATTACTTACAATGAAAAGTGGTTTTGCAAATCTTAAGATTGTTCCAGACAACCAGGAAAACCAGTAAAAGGGCATGACTTTGCAGAATGATGTTCTTCTTTGCTGAGTCAGAAGAGTTTACCAAGTTCTCATGATGAGAACTTCATTTGGAGCTGTCATGGAAAGAGACAAGTTAGAATTCCACCAGGTGACAATGGTGTTGTTCCAAACTTTTTAACGCTGTTGTGTGCTGTGATGGGACAGTACCTCTGTCCCCCAGTTGCTACATTTTTTTTCTTCCTTTTTATTGTCATACCTTGGGAAAGGCTAGAGGGGTCCCAAGACCTATGCTTCTAGCCCTGGTTGTGTGACTTTAGTCAAGTCAATCTGTATCTGTGGACCGCATTTCTACATTGTATACAACAGAATAGGTGTTATTTTTCATTGCCTCCAAGTTCTCTTCCAGCCCTCAAAATCGAACTCTTGGTTTCTCCCTCAACACCCTTGGGTTGTGTGTACTTGCCCTCTGTACCTTAGGCAAAGGACAAATGTTTTGGGTTTTTTTCCCTACAATAGAAGCCTCACACACAGTCCATAGACATGCACCAGGCTTTTGCACCCGAGGACAGAGAAAAACCAAAGAAGGTCTTAGTTAGCCCAGTGTATTCACCTTCCTCAAACAGAAACATTATCTCCACCTCCAGCTTCCTATAGCCCATTTGTCCCACAGGAACTTGGAATGCCCTGCCTCCACCATCTTTTCCTGTCGCAACTTCTGCCTCCACTTGCTCCTCCTGTTTTAGGCCTAAAGCCCACCTTCCTCTGTATCCTGTGGCTTTGGGGAGATGATGTCCTCTAGGCCTCTCCTTTTTAATTGCTTGTTGGCCTAATAAAGGCATTCACTCCCGTACTCTGCACAGCTCAGCAAGCACACCAGCCGTTATTGTGGTATTGATCCACGCCGCTGACACCCACTGTCCTCACACCTTTGTTTCTCTGTTTCAGCACTGAAAAGTCCAACTGAATTCCATGAGCAAAGGAAAAATTTGGATAGTGACAAGGTAATTTTTGCAAACTTCGATTTCTGTCCGTGGATTATGGGATGCATCACTGAATGCTAAACTTTGGTTGGTTAAAGCCTGCTCAACCAAGATGCTGCCCCATTGTGTGTAGAATATAAGTCCTATGTCACCTGAAAGTTGTTGAAATGGGACCAGTTATATTAACTTTAGGGGAACAATGGTAGTTCTATGGTGGAATCCTTGCTTTCCTAGAATTAGACCCGGGTTCAAATCTCAACCAATATACTTGAAGGGCAGCCACTGTTGCACGCCAGCAGAAGTTTGTGGTTTTAAGGATGCCGAGTGGGTTTCAGCAAGGCTTTCAGATAAAGAAAGACTAGGTAGAAGGCTCATGATCTACTTCTTAAAAACAACCAACAAGAACCCCACAAGCCACTACTGTTGGCCATCAACTCAACGAAAGCAAACAACAACAGAAATTAAGGGCCATAGGTCCAGTCCTGGGCTTGCTCCTTTCCACATCATCTCTCCAGATAGCTCAGGAATCTGGTGATACTCCATATACAATGTAACACTAGGAGTCCTTGTTAAAATGGAGGTAGGTGTGTCGGAAACAGTGAGATTGGCTCAAAATTGATCACAGGGTTGCTGTGAATTGCAGGTGACTCGACAGTACATGATAACAAGAGTCCCTGTAACTCAATGAGAGTTTAAATCTGTATGCTCTTCATTACAAGTCCTCCTTAGGAGAAGACATATGAATAAGAGGAGAAGGGTATATGTTGTCACGTTATATAAGAAAGATTTAGGCAATGTTTCTTCTCTGAAAACCCTAGTGACCACTGGTGGTCTGTAGCGTGGGGTGTTGCTAACCTCCAGGCCGTGGGCTGCCAGCAGTTCAAACACGCTCGTGGCTTTGCCAGGGAAAGATGGGCACTACCTTCCCACTAAGTCACACCCTTGGAAACCAAATGGAGGGTCACTGTGAGTCAGGATCGACCTGATGAACCAACAGTGAGCTGGGTTCCTTCTTCAGTTCCAGAGGCAATAGAGTAGGACAGATTATGGAACAAACAGCTCGGCAACACCACAACTTTATTAATATGCTCCTTGCTTGGCCCCAAGAGGTATTTAAGTTTGTAACTAACACAGACCAAAGTGATTATTTTTTGTCTGTTTATTTGTTTTCAAACCTCTTTTATTTTGCATCCTAAAATTTCTATAATTGTTTCTTTACAAAAAATCAAAGATCACCACCTAGAACAATGCTCAGAGGTCTTCCCCTGATTCACAGTGAACACTCGATAGCTTTATCTTCTAGAAAATAAAAAGAAGAGACCAGGAATATGCTTTTATCAGTTATTATAAGAAACTGTCTTTTTTCTTTTGAGAGGCTTGCGGGGGGGTTGCTTTTTAAGTTAAACCTGAGAGTTTCAGCTGTGGAGCTTACTGAGGTTGACAGCAGAGTTTATTCCATGTTCTGCAGATTGAAGATCATCGGAAGCACAAGGTCAGACAGCGACCCGAGCGTGCCGACGTGGTTAATATGCACATACTCCAAGGTAAGTCGATGCCCTCTGAATGGGGAGCGCCGCTCTAGAGTTCTTTCTTTAACGTCTCCTCTGTTATGACAAAGCAGAACATTGTGAGTGATATCTAATGATTCCACACCATGTAGACAATCCAGCCAGGAGGTCACAGATCACTTAGGAATGTATCAGACTCGGGTTCAAGTCTGAGCTATGCCACTTTCTAACTAGGAAGCCAACAAAAAGGCCATCTCCACTGAGACAGCTCTGGTCCCACGTGTGTCACAGTGGAACTCTGTTTTCACAGGGTTTTGACAAGATGATTACTCAGAAGTAGATCAGTAGGGCCTTTCTTCCAAGACTCATGACTGAACTCAGATCTACAACCTTTCAGTCAGCAATTAACCACTGCACCACCATCCAGTGACTCCTCCTGGTCATAGTCCTAGGAAAATGACACAATCTCTCAGAGCTCCAGTTTTCTCACATACAAAATTTGGATGACAAAAGCTATAAAATTATGATAATAACCTCCTCAGGTAATTGTAAAGATGGCATGAGGCATTTGTCCTACAATTACTCAGGGCGTAAAACATCCAACACATGTTACCAATTATTAATAGCTTGGAAATATATTTATCTATTTTTGTTTGTGTTGTTGTTAAGTGCCGTTGAGTCGTAGGCGACTCATAGCAACCCTGTGAACGAACACAAGTCCTCAACACTTGTGTGACTTTCACCATTTCTCCAAGTTCATAGGGTTTCCAGGGGCAAGCTATTTCAAAAGTGGATGCCACTCCTACATCCAAGCTTGTTTTTAATCAGGGAGCTCCACTAAACACTGTCCACCATGGGTGACCATTATCACATTTGACACATCAGGGTCACAGTGTTAAGCTTCACAGCAACCACGAGTTACCTCTGTGCAGCAAGTGGACAGACCAGGGCTATACCACCTAGAAGAATGTTTGGCCGAGAACAATTAAAATAGGCCAGAGACGCTTATTTATTATGTTCCACTTGGGACATGATTGGGGCTCACTAGCTGCTTTTCTAGTCATGAGGTAACAGTTGGAGTCTGCTTTGCTAATGAAAGCAGTGGTTTTACTTAGGAGGCTCCGGGGGTGTGGACCACACTGGATGACAGTGTTCAAGGGGCTGACACCAAAGTGACCATCTATAACAAAAAAAGATGGGTATCTTTGAATTGTGATGTCTGCAAGCAGTAGTGAACAGCCAGAATTTAAAAATAAATAAAAAGTCTTTCATAGAGGAAGGGCCACCAGAATGTTCCTTAGGGACAAAGATGGTGAAACTTTGTCTCACACACTTTGGGTAAGTTGTCAGGAGAGGAGAGTCCTTGGGTGAGGGCATCCCGCTGGGAAAGGGAAAGGGTCATCGAAGGAGAGAAAGGCCCTCAAGAGGTGGATTGGCACAGTGACTGTGAACACAGGTTGGGGTATGTTGGAGATGAGAAGATGGGGCAGGAGTAGGTAAGTGTCACTGGGTCACTAAGAGCAGCAGTCAACCTGATGGCACCTAACCACAACAATGATTCTGTCTGCTGTTGTATGGTCCATGTGTCATGAGGTGACACCATGAGTTACCACCCTGGGTGACACCAGTACTAGTGGCACCAGGGGATGCAAGCCTAGTTGCAGGGAAAAAAGAACCTGAAAAAATGGGTGTCAATGATCCTGGTCTCCACGAGGTGCTGCAGCTGTGCTGGGGAGTGTGGAATGAGAACAAACACCTAACTGGCCTTGATAATCTGACATCAGAATGGAGCAGCTTCAACTCCTGCTCTCTCTATGATTTGCCTTCTCTGGGCTGAGAATCCCCATCAATGAGCCCATGTCCTAATATGACAGTGTAGCTGTCATGTGTTTCTTTACTGCACAGACCTGCATTGGGTGTCTGCTAGGAGTTGGCTGTTAAAACCAGACACTGTGGATACAGAGATGAATAAGAGACACAATTCCTCACTCCAAAGGATTCTCACAGTATAATAGAGGAGACAAAAACGAGACTCAGAAGTTACAAGCCAGCATGAAAAGAGAGGAAACAGATGGTGTTGTAGAAGTAGTGAGAGAAGCGAGGAAACGCACTGAACCAAAGGGACTGAGTCAGGTAGAGAAGAGCAGAAGGGAACAGCATGCACCAGAGCTCTGACTGCTGTGGCTCTCGCATGTAGATGTCCTTGCAAGACTCTGCACTAGCATAGATAGAACATGGAACTCCTGAAACATAATGAAAGTTGCAAATCTAGATCCTTTAATCACATCAAATCTAGCCTAGTTCCTCCAGATCTGACCTTTCCCAATCCTCAATAAGGTGAAGTGTTATTAGACAAAGAATTGTCTCAAAATGCTTAAGAATACTAAGCATTGGGTTGGCAAGGGAGAACAGGGTAGGACTCAAGAGAAGGCTTCCATGGGATGTGAGCCATCGACCTCAATGAAGCAGCCAAACAGCACCAAGTCCCTTGAGGAGGACAAGGGAGTCCCAAGAGAAGGTGACAAGTACGCACTTTACCTCTTCACAGTGGTGTGGAGGGGCCTGGGGGTGGCTGCCACGTCAGCATCTTCATAAATCACAGCTGCACAGATAAGCAAAGAAATGCTAGTTCAAATGAGATACAGACATTTCAATTATCAATTGGTAGATAAAAATAAAAACCCTGTGAGGCATGAGTATGGGAAAACATGCGTTCCCATCCGCTGCTGGTGGAGAGCAAGTTGGGTCAATATTTCTAGAGGGCAATTTGGCAACATGTATCAAGCTCCTCAAAAATGTGCCCACCCTTTAACCCAGTGATTTAATTTCTAGTGTTTTTATCCAAAGAAAATAATCAGCCATACAAAGATTTTAAAACAAGAATGTTTATCGTGGAATTAACTTGATGACAAAAAATTGAAAACAGTGAACAGTCCAACAGTAGAGGAGTTGCTGCATAAATTAGGGACTAGCCACGCGACCCAGTACCTTGCTGCCATTAAAATAAGGTTTGCAAGAATCGCCATTTAAAGATAAGATGGTATAATGTCCAGTGAAAAGAAGAGAAAGCAAAACTGTATTTAAAGTAAAATTCTAGGAAGAAAAAAAATAGAAACATAAACTGTATTTACAGTCAAATTCTGGGAAGAAGAAATATACATATAATAATAAATATAAATAGCTCAAAAAAAAGACACCCACCAATTAAAAAGAGTTGACTCTAAACAGTAAGTTTCCCAAAACTTTCATTTACTTTTGTATGCTTTATTTATACTTCCTGTATTATGGCAATGCTATAATATTTTATCTACCTATTGTTTTTATTTTAATGAAAGTTTATCAAGAACTTGGATTTTCATAATGCTATAATTTTTTTACAACTATTCCATTTTTTAAAAAATGCTATTAATGATTTTAGTTAAAGTGTGGCCTTTAACTAAATAAATATCGTACTGTGAACCACAGCATCTCCAGTAATACAGCCCCCAATGAATCCCCTGTTCTCCCGAGATCAAATTGGGACTCAGCCCCCTGAAGCTGCAAGGATTGCTAGATAAAAATAACCTAGCTCTTTGTTTACAATAGCCAGGAGTTGGAAACAACCCAGGTGTGCATCAACAAAGGAATGGATAGAGAAGCTGTGGTATATTCACACAAAGGAATACTACGCTGCATTGAAAAACAAGAACTCATGAAATATTATTCAAAATGGGTGACCCTGGAGGACATTATGCTGAGTGAAATATCTCAGTCACAAAAGGACAAATAATGCATGGTGCCACTATTATAGAATGGGACTGATATCAGGGTTGGGGTAAGACTGAGAAAAACTGGATAAATTGTGTATGCTGCATTGAAACAGATGAGGGAGAGAAAGGGTGCATAGTGGAGTGTACTTGGGGCAGTGTGAGGGGTACAGGGGAATTGTATACCAAAGAAAGAATTTTTCTTTTACTTTTTCAAAGAGAGGAGCAACCTAGGGAGTGGGGGTGGAGGGGAGGGCTGGGCAGGGAGAAAAGTGCAACAATGAATGAATGGAAATCCAAAATCTCTATAAATGTTCATTAAAATTATTAAAATAAAATTTTTAAAAATATAATAACCTGGCTTCCAGGAGTTCACCGCCTAATAGCAGAAGCATCAGTATGAGGTTAAGTGCTGATTGCTTCTAACTACTAGTGGTGATTGAAAGAAAAGGGGTCACTATGAACATGTGTTAGGGAGCACTGGTGGTGCAGACTGTAGGGCGTTGCTTTGCTAACTCTCTGGTGGTTCAAATCCACCAAGGCTTCATGGGAAAACAATGGAGACTCTCCCGTGTGATTCCCAACCTATGAATCAGATCCAACTAGACAGTATTGAATGACGGGGGAGAGAGACACACACACACAGAGAGAGAGAGAGAGAGAGAGAGAGAAACTTTATGGTGAGACCTAAAAGAGGAGTAGGATGCTGATGGTAGAGCAGCTGAGGAACACACTAGGATGATGAAGCAAAGATACAAAACTGATACCAGTGAGGCAGGAGAACAAACTTGCTGGGGTGGCAGGTTTGGAACGAAATCTCGGGCCACAGATGAGCATGGGGTCAGCAGTACTGCAAGACCGTGAATCCTAGGATTGCACTATTCAATGAGTGGGTGGGGTGAAGGAAATGGGAAGAATCTTTTCTGAAAAACAATGTATTCAAACTTTGTAAATAGATCAGAGTAATATAAAAAAAAATTAAAAAACAATAGAATAATAATAATAATAATAAGACTGGACTGAGAGCTTCAGCTGGAGAAGAGCATCTTACAAGGGAATAGAAGGGGGAAAGTATTTTTTTGAAAATTGATCTTGACAAGGAGGGCAGGAGGGATCAGAAAGATCCTGAGGCGAGGGGCTGGTACGCAGCCCTTTGCAGTGACAACAGCAGAAGATGCTGCAGAAAGTGGGGGGATGTGGAACAAAACTCAAAACAGAACAAAGGCTGGGCTTGCTGTTCTACAGAGACTAGTGGAATCCCTGAGACTATGACCTTTAGTCACCTTTCAAGCCTGGGAAAAACTCACGCCCTGTGACTCAGCCCTCAGTCAAATAATAAATAGACCTATAAGGTGTCCAGGGAGGAATTCATTTAGAGTAACTAACCATAGAGAGTTTAAAGAGCAGCATTTGCCAAAGGATAATACTTCAGGCTTGTTGCTAGGAAAGGCTGTTCTTCAGAGAGGGGCATTGTGCTTGGAAAGAAAGAGGGTCGGTGAAAGAAAGGAAGACCCTCAACCAGATGGATTGAGACGGTGACTGCTGCAATGGGCTCGAGTGTGTCAGGGATGATGAGGATGGCACAGGGTATGACAGCGTTCAGACTTGTTGGTCATGGAATTGCTACGGGTTGTACTCAATAGCATCTAATAACAATTCTAAAGTAGGGAGCTGTGGTGGCTGAGCGGCAAGGAATTGCACTGCCAACCCAAAGTTATGCAGTTCTAATCCACCAGCTTTCAAAGGGAGAAAGATGAGCTGCCATGTGATTTACTGCCTCTGAAAACACACCAGATAGTCAGCTAGGGGTCACTTCTGACTCCATGGTACACAACAATTCTAAAGTACCCCATCATTAAATCCATTCAGATTCATAATACAGAACAAATCAGGCCCTCTATGAGAAATACACGTAATAATTTATTCAGTATTTTTAAAAAAATATTTTCCATTTCCTTTTTTCCCAATGAAAGTCCACATTACTGTACATGTATTTCTCAGGTGACCACCTGATGGCTTGCCAATAGATCACCTAACCTTTTTCTCTAGGCATCTCTACGTGGACTTGACCATCTCACCTTTTGTTTAGCATAACCTGCAGTACTACACAGGGACTCCAATTAAAGCGATGGGTGAGATTTACAGGGGACTCAGCCTGTGCCAGATCACGCTGGCCAAATGTGAATCCTTTTCCAAAAGCTGTAGCCTCCCATCAGCAAACATCTTAGCCTCCATGGACTGCCTGCTTACAGACTCGCCAGACGGCACTTTTTTTTTTCTTTTCACAAAGCCTTGCAAAGCAAGTGCGCCTGGTTTTCTATTTGCCTTTATTTGGAAGTATCTGGTCTTTGGTGCTAATCCATGTAAAACGATGATGATTGCATCAAAAAATTATTAGGAGAGTAGAGCACAATGGGACACAATGTTTTGTAACCACAAGCAAAAGAATACGATTTGTTTTTCAAAGACACAACATTCTAGAACTGATCCTTTTCATTTCGCCCGTTCAGCTTCTACTGGAGAAAGGTCCATCCCAAGCACTCAGATGAAGCTGAAGAGAGCACGGCTTGCGGATGATCTTAATGAAAAGATTGCTCTCCGGCCAGGGCCCCTGGAGCTGGTGGAGAAGAATATACTCCCGGTTGACTCTGCTGTGAAGGAGGCCATTAAAGGTAGTTGGAACACACGACTTGTCTCTCCCTGGTGCTCTGGGGGCCTGAGGGCCCTGGTGGCTCTGACGCTGCAGGGGCTCCGACGGGCAGGTTCTGTCACTAGGCAGAAGTCAAGGCTTTGATTGCTGTCGCAGGATGTTCTCCATCAGCAGAGGTCCCACCGATGGGAGAGACACCCGAGAAGCTGGGCCATTGCTGACCAGTGTTGGCTCTAGTCAGTATGATTGAGAACTGGGGCTTAATTTGAACCTCAAAACATCTTTGCTGGAAGGTCCTTTAAATTCCATTGCTAGTTGTTCACATGCGTGTCAGGGTAAAGCCATACTCCATAGGGTTTCAATGGCTGGGTTTTCAGAATTAGGTCGCCAGGACTCTTTCAAGATGCCCTTGAGAGGCTGGCCTTTCCAGGCTTTCAAGCTAGCAGTGGAGAGCATAAGCCACTTTCACCAGGCAGGGAGAGACTTACAGCCCCCCTCCCTCCTTTGACTGAGTCTAGGAGTTGCATAGCTAAACCAAATGCCAAGGCTTTCCGGTGATTGGAATCCAGTAATAGCTCCTCAGGAGAAACATGGGAAATCTTCTCCTCTGTATCTCCTGATGCCTCCAAATGTGTCAATTCCAACCTGGCAGCAGTAAAAGAGAGAGAGGAAAAAAATAGAAACTGGTACAGTGGTAAGAATATTGGACTTGACTCAGAATACCCGAACTGTTGGCCCTGTTTGGCTGCTGTGTGTTGAAGCTTGTTCAAGTCGTATGCCCTCTCTGTGCCTCAATTTACTCAACACTGAAATTGGAATAGTAATACCATTGGCTGTTGGACATGAAATGTGAATCATGTGATCAAGGTGAATGCTCTTTGACAGCCTCTGTGTTCTTCACAAGATGGAAGCGTAAATACTTAAGAAGGCATCAATGTTAATTCTGTCCTCATAAACTACATAAAATCGTGTTTAGGCCTTCTGAACAATTGAGGAAAAAATAGACGCAAATGGTCTGGGGGAGGGGAGGGTATTGTTTGTGGGGAAATTATAGGGAGGAGCAAAGGGACCTTGGTAGAAAGAAGAAAGGAAGGAGAGTTTAATGTTATCGCAAACTGGAGTGGCTTCCAATTAGGTTCCCACTATATATTCCTTATTCATATTCTTCAGACAAGTTTTAAAGGAAAAGAAAGGTGAGTAATGTACCTGTCAGTTACTATGATGAAAGGAGATTCTAACAAGGTAAATATAACAGTCCAAATACAATTTAGAAGGTATTAAAAAACTGAAAACATAACAAATTGTGGAAAAACAGCAAAACCATTGAACATTTTAAAACACAGCCACCAGTGGGCTAAACTTAACAGCAACAAATCCACATTCATTTGAAGTATCAAATGTAAGCCAAAAAAAAAAGAGAGAGAGAGAGAGAGAAAGTGAGCCAAAATATTTTTTCCTATATATACAAAATCCAAGATCTCATATATTTTTCACTAATAGGAGCCTCGATGGCATAGTGGATTATGTGCAGGACTGCTAACTGAAAGGCCAGTGGTTCTAATCCACCAGGCAGTCCAAAGGAGAAAGATGAGCAGTTTCCTACTGTAAAGATTTAAAGTCTTAAAAATCTGATGGAGGGTAGCTAGGAGTCAAAGTATGAGATAGCAGTGGCTTTAGAACAGGTATTGATATGAATAAGATATAGATGGTATAGATACAGATACAGACAGATACAGATATAGATATGGTTTTATACATTGTCAAAAGTATTTCTGGGACATATTATCAATTTATTGTGAAGGCTATCCACTTTACAAAATCTTACTCTCATTCATATCTTACTCTTTCAAAAGACTATGAATTTTGCCTATGCATCCTTAAGATTTTAACATACGAGCTCCAAGAGAAGCTATGTACGCATCCATCAGCTCCCATCATAAACAGTTCATTGTTATTTTTTCTCTTCGTCACACATTCCCCTCACCCCTAAATATTCTCCACCTTTGAATTTGACCTAGAGTCCTCACAAGGCGCACTATCTTAACTCTGATGACATGTAAGACAAGAAAAGATCTCAATTGGGCTTTCTTATATTTTCTTAGAGTTGTATTCCATGCGTGTTCTTGGGAACTGGCCCATAGGCTAATTGTAAAACCCTCCGGTGGGTTTTCAGAGACAATAAATCACACAGGAGGAAACTGTCCATCTTTCTTCCACAGAACTGCCAATGGATCAGAACCATGTGCTTTGGAGATTGTGCAGGTTCTTACCACTTGTCTACCAGAGCTCATGTTATTTATTCATATAGTTAAAACAAACTCTCTCGTTTAATTATATCTTTGTTATATATTTTAATCAACTATAAAAATCTCCTTTTTAATTAAAAAATTTTAAAGTCACTAAATATGCAATCTTTAATATATTTCATTGTGATTATGGAACATTAGTTGTTTATTACTTTTGTTGTTGTTGTTGTTATTGGACTTTTCCTCCTTATTGCTTTGCAAAAAGTGTGTATCTAAGGGGAAATGTTACATTAATGGTAATGTATATATTTCTTTTGTTGGCGTTAATGTGTTTTATTAGCTCCTTTCCTTAAAACACACTCATTGGAATGTTGGACAATGATATTATCAATTCAGCTGAAAGCTATGGGATTTATACAGCAAAGTGGAAGTTCAATATCAGAGTTTCTCCTTCACATCGACGTCTTCTTTCCATTCCTATTCTGTTTGGTAGCAACAAATGTAAGTGATAAATAGCTAAACAAAATGAAAACAGTTCAAATTCATGAGCTGCTCCAGGGAAGAAACGTGGGCAGTCTCCTCCCATTAATATTTATAACCTCAGACCAGATGGAGGGGTGCCAGAGTTAGAAAGGAATCAATGACAGAGTTTGGTGCTTTTTTTCGTAAAGATGGTCGTTATTTTCAAACAATGGAATGGTTTTACAGGTTCTCTTTATTTAAAAAAAGCTTTACAATATTAAGATGTCCCTTAAAAATGACAAGATTACACAAATCATTATATAAGTGATAAAAACATCAACAACAGAATCATAACCGAGATTGAAATTCATAGTCAAAATTTTAGATGAAGATGTAGATCATAACTTTACATGCACTGTCCACAATCCTAAAGTGTCAGCACTGGCCACAGCTTTAAAGGTGGTAAGGGAAAGAACATATTGTAATGTGTGCTTTTTCTAGTTCCTTTTTTTATTTGTTTGTTTGTTTTATACTTTTGTGTGTGTGTGTGTATACTGGTTTATTTACAACGTTCATAAAGTTCATATACATTGTTTTTCACACCGATCTTTTCCCTTTCCTTTACTCACCCCTTCCTCCACCCATCAAAATGCATGACCCTATGATTAAGCACCCCTCCCACCCCACCTTGGATCCTTGTACTCATTCTACAATAACGTTCTTATACAGTATTTGTCCTTATGAGACTGAGTTAGTTCACTTAGCATAATGCTCTCCAATCCCTTCCATGTTAGGTAATAATTTACAAAATCATTGCTCCTGTATGCTGCATAGTATTCCATTGTGTGAGTGTACCATAATTTCTCAATCCATTCCATTGTGGTTGGGCAGTTGGGCTGTTCCCATGTTCTTGCAATGGAATAACCCTGCTATGAACATTGGTGTACAAGTCTCTGTTTGTGCCGCAGTTCTCATTTTCTCAGGATATATTCCAAAGAGTGGAATAGCTGGGTCATGTAGAATTTCTATGTTCAGCTTTTTGAGGAAGTGCCAAACTGCATTCCAAAATGGTTGTACCAATTTACTATCCCATCAACAATATATAAGAGTTCCTCTCTACAACATCTATTACTTGCTGCCCTGTTAAACTTTGCCATTGCTACTGGAGTGAGATGGTAATACCATTGTGGTTTTGATTTGCATCCCTCTTACTGCTAGATTTGGATCATTTCTTTATGTCTCTGTTGGTCATTGGATTTTCTTCCTCTGTGAAAAATCTTTCCGTGTCTTTTGCCCATTTTGTAATTGTATTGTCAGTCTTTTTCTTCTGGAGGCCCAGGAGTATTCTGTAAACTTTTATTATGAGACCCTTGTGTGAGATGGTACTGCCAAATGTTTGTTCCCAGTCTATAGGTTTTCTTTTCACTCTGTTGTAAAAACTTTTGATGAGCACAGAGATTTAATTTTAGAAGATCCCATTCATCAATTTTATCTTCTTCAGATTGTACATTACTGGCTGTATTTGGCAGTACCTTTATACTGTAGACTAGGTCTTTTAAGCTTGGTCCCACTTTGTCTCTTATGAACTTTATGGTTTTGGGTTTTATTCCCAGATCTCTGATCCACCTTGAGTTGTTTTTTTGTGTATGGTATGAGATGTGGATCCTGTTTCAGCTTTCTGGAATTAGCAGTCCAGTTTTTCCAGCACCATTTGTTGAAGAGGTTGTCATTTTCCCATTTAATAGATTTTATTTCCTCATCAAATATCAGTTTACCATAGATAAATGGGTCCATTTCTAGATTCTCAATTTTGTGCCTTTCATTGTACCAGTACCAGACTGTTTTGGTTACTACCACTGTGTAGTAGGTTTTGAGGTCAGAAGTGCTATGCCTCCCACTTCTTTTTTGTTTTTCAGAAGAGTTTTGCTTATTTTCTTTCTCTTTCCTCTCCAAATAAACTTGACAATTTCTTTTTCGATCTCCTTGAAAAATGAATTTGTTATCTGTGTTGGGATTGCATTGAACATGTAGATTGCTTTTAGTAGGATTGTTATCTCTTGTGTTTCTATCTTAAATGAAGATCTCTCTAGCTGTTCACATCTACATTTGATATTCATTTAAGATAGTTCTTTTAAGAATATATTTTTCTATTTTTGGTCTCCTAAGAGTAGTTTGCAAGATAGAGGCTGAACTTTTAAGTACTTTTTACATATAGGAAGAGAAGATCATACAGATTAGTTCTTTGTTAAAGTGTTGCAATATTGCTTCTTTTCCCAACACTTCTTCATCCCTGTGTTCTTAGGAGGAGGGGAAA